CAAAAGAGTCAGAGTAAAAAACAACTACAAAGCTGTAACAACGATGTAACTTTATGTTCAATTCTAAATTAATCTATAATTTGTTTCTACAAATAAAACATACTTTCAAAGTTTTCCAGATACTTAAATAATCAGAAAAAGACAAAATTCTAGTTTGTCTGTTAAGATTACTTTTAAGATACAATTCCATTTAGAAAGAAAAACATTATTTTATCTGTACTTCCATTCTATTTGCTTCTTACACTATTACATTTTCTCATTTAGGTCACCTTTTCTGTCTGCGTACATTTATGGAACCTTCTAGAAATGAACTTGTCTTTGTCTTCTTCTGTTTCCTAAAAGCCTCCTGAGAATGCTGAGGGATCTCTAAATAGCCAGTATGCTTTCTCCTGGGAACAAACTTCAGAGCCTCTTCCCAGCTACCAGTGTTTTTCAGGCAGAGCAAAATGCGGATCATTTGATCTAAGGTGAGATTTTTGTTACCAACTTCCCACTGTAAATATTTATCTAGTGGAAGGCGCTCTGTTGCTAGATTTAGCCGTTTTGCCTTGGCGAGGGATGTGCCTGTCTGTGTATTTTTATCAACAAATGACCCAATTATATAAATTTTATCGTGCTTGAAGGTAGTCATAATATTGGGAGAATCTGCAGTTAAATATATAATACTGTCCTTTGGAAATAAATCAACAGCAGACTTTTCTGTTGCTGTCAAGAGCAGTTTGTCCCATTTTTCACCGTACCGTCTAACTAACTCTCGATGATAAGCACCATCTAGTTTAAGATTGCAGAAATAAATGTGGAAAGGGTCAACATTTTTTCTGTTCCATCCTTCACTTTCTAAAAGCTGAGAAACAGTATTCTGCAGTTCACTTGATTTCATGTAATTTTCATAACCCATATCAAAAACCAAAGGCTGTCCAAACTTCATAGCCTGGACACCCTTCCAACCCAGTGCGATGTTGATACAGCGGTCCCAGAGTCGAAGAAACATAAAGTCCTGCTGCGCCTCACTCTTGCTGGCTTCCAGCAGCCTGGCCTTCTTTGCTTCTTCCCTGGCCTCTGCCTTCATTTCCTTCTTTTTCTGCTTAGCTTTTTTCATTTTTTCCTTACCATACAAAAACCTTAAGTATTTTTTTTTGGCTGATTTAGAAGCACATTCCATAAGGGTTTTGAGTTCTTCTTCAGTGATATGTTCTGGTACTTCTTTGCCAAGTAATCTCCACATCTCAATTAATTCTCTGGTGGCAGCTAGAGAATCTTGATCTTTGTCTGAGACCACTGAAACACCATCTTCTTGAATGCTAGATTTCATTGTAGTTTTCCACCCATCCAATTCTAGCTGTTCAGGAGGGGATGGACTGTCCTTACTATGACAGGACAAAGAAGGTACTTTGGAAGACATCGATCTCTGCAGAACTGTTGAATATAAATTCCTTCTCTTCCTATGAAAGGTAAATGGCACCATTAACCTGGCAAAAGGTCTTAAGAATCGGACAGTAACATTCATTTTGAAGAAATGTAAGGAACTCCTGTAAAAGAAAAATGAAATTAAGTTAGAGATTTTTTCAAACTTCCTAACTGTGATTCTGATTTCTTTTCTCTCAGGCAGACTAGATGAGATTTATTAGTAAGCATGACTGGTGGGGTATAGGACTCAGGACAGTAGAAGGCCTTAGGAAAGTTGAGCCTGGCACTTCTCCAGGGGACCACAGTTGTGGATATTTTGACCCCACAGCCATAAGGGACAAGCCACTTGTCAGCTACCATAGCTTTAAATTCATCTGCATTAAACCTGGTGAAGCGCTTCTTCTCTAAGATGTGATCTTCCGGCTGTCAGGAAACCCGAAATTGGCTCAACGAAGGGCCTCACACATCCCTTATTCTGCAGCTTGGTATGAATGGACAAAATGGCCTGACCAATGTAAACTCTGGCTACTGTGCCTTGGGGCTTCCCAAAGAAACCCCCAAATACTTGTCTAGAGCCTAGATTGGAAATAGCATTGAGATGAGATGTGATTACCTAACTGAAAACTGTCTCCAAGGTCCCTTTGGGCAACCTGCACATTCAACAGGCTGCATACACTACCAAGGAGGATGCTGTTTGCAACCATTACACACCAGACCCCTATGAAGAAAGGAACCTGGTCGGCTTAATTGGCTGCAGAAGGCAATTCATTTCTGAAGCACAAAGGGAAACCTTTGAACAAATTAGATGTCACACATCACTAATTTAACTACCTCATATATTACATCCTGACTGCAGTTTCCACAGTCTTCTCCTCCCAATCCCTCCCCACTAATTTAACTCCTCTGGTCCAAAGCCTATGATCACTTACAGGTCAGTTTTTAATTTTTTTTTAATTTTTGTGAGACAAGGGTCTTTTGTGTGGACCAGGCTGATTTTAAACTCATCAACCTGAGTGATCTGCCTCAGACTCTGAAATAACTGGCACTATAGCTATGTACCACAACATCCTGCTCCACGTTCTTATTTTATATATTAATTTCAACATATTTGTAAACAAAAGATTGACTCAAATATCCTTTTTAGATTTGCTATAGAAACAGGCCTAGAGGATTGATGTAACTAGATAGGAAGGTTATATGCCAATTACAGAGCTTAGAACAGATTCTACAGTCTCCTTCAGATACATATCTAATCTTGAGGTCCTTCATGAAAGCAACAAGGAAGACAAAAAAGGTAGGAAATTTACATAAAATCCCACCTAATAAAAGATACCAAAGAGCTGCCACACAGATGCCTTTGTGATTCCAAAACAGAAATACAGAGCAAATATTATAAAATAAAATGTCCCAAACGGTATGTGTGTGTGTGTGTGTATATATATCTATCTCCATAATTTTATCTTGAAGAACTGGATGTTCCACAAGATAATGAAGATGCTTATTAAAGTTTGTTAACTGATGCAGAATGTGAGGGAAAAAGAAAATTCCTGGAAAAACTCCAACCTTTGGCTTCCTGTAATGATCCTGAACACTCCGAGATGTTCTCTGGCCTGTGCAGATGCCCAGATGCACTCCTCCCACCCCAAAATAATTATCATTTTGTGCTCTGTTTAGATCCAAGTTCATTAATATGGCTTGAAGAGGTTTTCATAATATCACCCCCTGCCTTTTCAGCTGCACATCTCTTTTTCACTTAACACTCTAGATCAATCAGTCCTATTAGTTTTCACGGCACCCTGTGCCTATAATACTTGCAACACTCTAATTGTCTGGGTTCCCCACTAGAAGCTAAAGACTATATTCCATTAGGACCAAGACTGGGTTAAACATTCACTCTCACATTCAAAAAATGTTCAGAGCCAGGTGTGGCTGCACACACCTTTAATCTCAACACTCCAGAGACACAGAGGCAGATGGATCTCTTTGAGTTTGTGGCCAGCCTGGTCTACATATTGAGTTCCATGCCAGCCAGGGATACACGAAGACCCTTCAAAAAAAAAAAAAAAAAAAAAAAAAGCCATTCAGACTTTAAAGATTTAAAAACAAAACAAAAATGGATATCGGACATTGAGAAATATTTAGTTTAGGATTCTCAGGCCCTGAGTTTGACAAAGCGATTTCAAAAACATTATCTTGTGACAGTTATGGTAGTGTAGGCCTCTAATCCCATGAGACCCTGCCTCAAAAAAAAAATTATAAAGCCAAATAGTTGAATTTTGTCTTTGTAGTGTAGAGAGAGATTTTATAATATCACAGAAATCAAAAAATTTAAAAAATTTTGCAGGTTCTCCACTCTTTAGCACAGGCTAGTCTCAATTTCCAGACTGATCTGCCATAGCCTCTCCAGGCCTCATTATGAAAATGTAATTCAAATTTTTTTATTTTAAAGGTGCGTGCGTGCGTGCGTGCGTGCGTGTGTGTGTGTGTGTGTGTGTGTGTAGGGGTAATTATGTACGCGGGCGTGCGGATGCCCGAGGAGACCAAAGGCATGAGATCGATCACCAGGCCAGGGTTACAGACACAACAGTTGTGAGCTGTCTGTAGTCCTCTGCAAGAACACTAAGCGACTGAATCGCTGAGCCGTCTCTGCAGCCCCGACAACTTACATTTTGAAGCAAATGATGGGCATGATTTTGATAAACACAACTTTGCAGGCAGTGTATTACTTACGATTGATAGATCACAGCTTCCTCTGGACTGTAGCTCTTAGCACACACGCTCCACAACCTGCATCCCGGAAAGCCACCGAGTCTACCCGGCACCAGAACACCGGCGGCGAGAAGCCCGCGTGTACCAGGAGCGCGGCCGGGCGCCAATCGCCGGGACTCGCGAACTGGGCGACCCGCGTGCAAGCCTCAGGCTGCACCGCACAGGGCGGAGAGGAGCCAAGGGGCTCCCGCTGCGGCCGCCGGAAATCCGGCGCCGCCGGAAGTCCCGCCTCTTCCCCCCGGCGCTGCCTCTGACGTTTAGCCCTGCCGGCGGTTTCCCAGTTTAAAGTCGGTCCGCGGTCATCCTGACTGGTTACCTGTGAGTGCTTGTGAAAATGACTTAGGCCCGGACTCGTCACCGGCGCCCCGCCACCCTGTTTTTTGATTTGTTGTTAGGACTGGGAACCTCTTAGCCGGCTCTCAGCTTGGTTACTCGTATTTATAGGAATGTACTAACAAAACGACCTGAACGCAAATCTTACAGTTCTGCTTTAAAATCTCATTCTAGCCAGGCGTAGTGGTGCATGACTTTAATCTCAGCACTTGGGAGGCAGGAATCTCCTAAGTTTGAAGCCAGCCTGATGTACAGAGCTAGTTCCAGGACAGCCAGGGCTACACAGGGAGACCCTGTCTCAATAAACCAACCCACCCCCACCCCACCCCCCAAAAAAACAAAACAAAAAGATTGTTTAATAACGTGTGAGATATGAAGGAGGACCCCCCCCCCCCAAACAGCGGGGCTTCCCACCCACACCCGGATTGGGCACAAACCATACCCAAACACCTGTTTTCACAGAGAGATTCTTTATTAAGCAGGGAAGAAAAGTGGCTGCATTCTAACACAGGCAGAAAAACAGCAGCAACTTTCCTTTCAGGTGTAATCTTTAAGAAAAGAAAAAGAGGAGGTCTGTGTTAGAATGGGCTGGGGAAGCGGTGGTATATTTTTATTGGGCATGCTAATTAGGTGAATTAAGGGGGCTTTTGATTACTGGACTTTAATACTTTGATAGCTGGTCTTTGGTAGTCAGCCTCAGGAGGAGGAAGTGGCCAAATAAGGATGGCTAGCTTTAGGAATGTAATCTAACGGTTTTTTGTTTGTTTGTTTGTTTTTGTTTTGTTTTAGCAAGGCAGAAGGAATAGAAAAGAAGGGCAAGGCCTGCCAGAGCCATCCATGGACACCATGCTCCAGGCAGCCGGAATCCCTTCAATATCAATAACCACTGAAAGTAAAAATCAATACTCCAATGATAGAGGAGAGTCAGCATTTTCAGCTTGTCCACTTCTTAATACGGTAAATCATGCTAAATTAAGGGCTTCAGAATGACATTATCTTTCTGCTCTAAGGTAAAGACTTTAACTCAAAGTAATTGTGAATGAGGTACAGTAGTGACAGACTGAATATTTGAAAGGACAATCAAAAGGCCAGGCATGGTGGCATACGCCTTTAATCCTAGCATTTTGGAGGTAAAGCAGCAGTTCTCAACCTGTGGGTTGAATCCCCTTTGGGTGTCGAATGACCCTTTCACAGGGGTTGCCTAAGATCATTGGAAAACACTGATATTTACATTATGATTCATAACCATAGCAAAATTATAGTTATGAAGTAGCAACAAAAATAATTCTTTGGTTAGAGGGGTTACCACAACATGAGGACTATATTAAAGGGTCACAGCATGAGGAAGGTTGAGAACCAGTGAGGTGGAGGCAGGCTGATCTCTGTGAGTTTGAGGCTAGCCTGGTATTCATAGTGAGTTCCGGGACAGCCAAGGCTACATAGTGAGAGCCTGTCAAAGAAGAAGGAGGTGGAGGAGGAGGAAGAGGAGGAATGGGAGGAGGAGAAGAAGAAACATATATAAATATGGATGAAACTCTTACCTACAATAAACAGCCCAGAAAATTATCTTGACATGAGGTAGACATGTAGTAAGCCATGTTTCTATCTCCTGTGACAGTCCAGGAAGTGAACTAATAATTTCTGCCGTAACCAGTGCCAAATGGCCAGGACAGATTAATAACTGATGGCTTTACTGATTTTTTTTTTAAATCACCCCTGTGTATACGTGATGTTTATAAATGTGAGTGTATAAGTATGGTCACACACATGTAGAAATCCGAGTACAACCTCAGGTGTTGATCCTTATATTCCAGATTGTTTGAGTTGGCTTTCTTTGTTGCTTGCTGCTAAGTATACCAAGTTAGATGGTCTGTGAGTCTCTGGAGATTCCCTTGTCTATACCATCCATCTTCCAGTAGGAGCGTTGTGATTAGAGATGTGCACACTCACGAACTCTTATCTACTGAACCATCTCACCAGCCCAGCTTCACTAATGTTTGTCCCTGTTGATAATCTGAGCTCAATCTAAGAAGGGCAAATATATACTCCTGCCCAATCCCTTAGGATGCTCCACTGCTAGTAAGTTCATCTAGAAGACATGCCAAAAGTCTCTACCCACACTGTAAGGCATTTCGGCTCCTCTGCCTTTGAATTTCATCCAAAACAGTGGTGATGGCCTACTCCTTGATAAGGAAAGCTCCGAATAAATGAGGTTTGGTTTTCTTATGTTGTTGCTCTTCATTTATTTCCACAGCAGACATTTAGTAAATGTCTTAGGGTTACTATTGTTATGATGAAACACCATGAGCAAAAGCAAGCTGGGGAAGAGGGTTTATTTGGCTTACACTTTCACTTGTAGTCTTATCACTGAAGGAGGTCAGGATAGGAACTCAGGCAGGGCTGGTACCTGGAGGCAGGAGCTGATGCAGAGGCCTTGGAGGAGTGCTGCTTACTTGTTCCCTGTGGCTTGATCAGCCTGCTTTTTTATAAAACTTAGGACTGCCAACCCAGGGATGGCTCCACCCACAATAGACTGGGCACTCCCCTATCAATCACTAATTAAGAAAATGCCCTACAACTGGATCTTATGGAGGCATCTTCTCAACTGAGGTTCCCTATTCTCCAGTGACTGTAGCTTGTATCAAGTTGACATAAAACAAGCCAGCACAATACATTTTGCTGTTAACTGAATGGCAGGTTGCAGTAGTGGGAATGTGTTGGAAGCACAAAGGTCCTTACTGGTACAGCTAAGCATTAGGGAAACAAGGAACCTTCAAAACAGGATTGTCTCTTCAACAAGGGAGATGCATCAACTGTTTTTCCACCTGATGATCTGTGCTATCTGTATAGACATTGCTATGATTTATTACACCCCCTCCCCGCCAGGGTATCCTGCAGGGAAACATGTTGGGCAGATGCATATCATGCATGGCATGGCAGAGGTGGCCAGTAATTCACAACCCAGACGATGCATCTACGTGGAGAATTTATTATAATAGAGATAAAGAGGCAGAGAGACAGAAAGAGGGAGGGAGAGAGAGAGAGATGCACACCTCATGGGAGGAAAAGCAGAAGGGAAGAGGAAGGGGCGAAGTTTTTCCTTAAGAAGAGGCTTCCTTGTCAGGACGCAGGGTGGTCCCAAGGGGTGGGATCAGAATATTAAAAGCCAGGCCATACCAAGCTCCTAGAAGCGGCACAGGAGGTGACTAATAGCCCAAATGACAACTACACTATCTGTATGACAGACCACACCAGCTCCTCCCCAGGCCCTTAAGGTAACACACGTAGCCTATCTCCAGAACACATTTTCATGGAAGAAATGACATGCACTTTGAGAAGAGTATTTATGATGTGATTATGCCTCCTTGTGCACAGGATTGCATTACAACAGGAAACTTTTTCCAAATTGAGCTGTATTTAAATATGCCTAAAATAAACGGCCCGGTATCAGACTCTATAATGAACCAACTTTGGCTAATGAGTCGTGTTGAACAGGACTTCCTCCTTGCCTCAGGTGGATCATTACTTTCCCGACCGTGATCGTCTCAGGGACCCCTAGAGGAATGAAATGTGAATCAGGCTGTGTAAGTTATGATCAATAACTAACATCACTGCAAATAGTTATTCTGATGTCTGGAAAAGTAAAGTAGGCTGACTCATCTCTTAATTTAATTTAATTTTATGTGTATATTGGTATTTTGCCTGCATATCCAAAAGTCCAGAAGAGGGTGATGAATGCACTGGAAATGGATTTACAGGTAGTTCCAAAATGACATGTTAGTGCTGAGATTTGATCCTGGGTCTTCTGGAAGAACAGCCAATGCTCTTGACCACTGAGCCGTCTCTGTAGCCCCACAGCTGGATTCTTAGGGGCAGAACTTAAAGGGAAAAGATAAGGCTTTGGGGCTCTAAGTGTGTTGCTCCAAAGACAAGAACAAAACAAATTATTATGTCAGATACCTTTTACTATTGTGGTGGTTTGAAAGAAAATGGCCTTTGCTCCAGGTGGTGGTGGCACATGCCTTTAATCCCAGCACTTGGGAGGCAGAGGCAGGTGGATCTCTGTGAGTTTGAGGCCAGCCTGGTCTACAAAGCGAGTTCCAGGACAGCCAGAACTACACAGAGAAACCCAGTCTTGAAAAATCAAAAAAAGAAAAGAAAAGAAAAAGAAAGAAAGAAAAAAAAAAGAAAAGAAAATGGCCCCCAAAGAGAATGACACTATTGGGAGGTGTGGCTTTGTTAAAGTAGGTATGGCCTTGTTGGAGGAAGTGTGTCACTGTGGGGTGGTCTTTGAGGTCTCATATATGCTCAAGCTATGGCCAGTGTCTCTCAGATCACTTCCTGTTGCCTGCATAAGATGTAGAGCTCTCAGCTACCTCACCAGCATCATGTCTGCCTGCATATCACCATGTCCCACCATGATGATAATGGACTAAACCTCTGAAAATGTAACCCACCCCAATTAAATGTTTTCCTTTCTAAGAGTCGCTGTGTTCATGGTGTCTCTTCATAGCAATAGAATCCCTAGCTAAGACACCTATAATAAATACCAGAGACAGTTGCTGTGCTGTGATAAAGGTTTGTTTTGGCTCACAGTTTTGATGGTCTGGTCCCTGAGTAGGCAGCTCTATTGCTTTAAGGTCCGACATGGGTGCCATATGAATGACAATGGTGGGGGAAGTGCAGTGTGCACAAACCCATTCATTGTTTGGTGTGCATGTATCAGTCACATTCACTTTATTCTGGGTGTGTGGGATGTGTGCAGGTAGGCACACATCTGTTTGCGTGTTCCTGTGAAGACAAGAGGACAACCTTGGGTGCTGTTCCTCCGCAATGTTGCCTGCTTTTCATTTCTGAGACAGGTCTCTTATTGGGCCTGCAACTCACCATACCAGGCTGGCTGGCCAGTTAACCCCGAGAATCCTGTCTCCATCTCCCCAGTGCTGGGATCACAAGTGTGTGTTGCCACACTTTTTTTTTTTTTTTTTTCCTAACATGGGTGCTGGAGATCAAGCTCACACGCTCACATTTGAGAGGCAAGTGCTTTACCAACCAAGCCATCCCTCAGCCCCAGAACAACTCAGCTCATGATGAGAAAATGAAAGAGAAAAAAGAGACTTCAGCCCCAGTTTTCTTTAAATGCACATCTCAGTGGCCTAAAAACCACCCATTAGGTCCTTTCTCAGCATTTCTACCACCACCCAAGAGTACCCAGTTAAGGGAAAAGATTGTAAAGCATGGGCTTTGAGGGGACATTCCAGATTCAGACTAATAGCAACCATTAAATGATTAATTTATTGAATGAATTGATGACAGAGACTCTTACATTCTTGTTAAAAATACTTGGTATTAGTTACTTTTCTTGTTAGGCCGTGTCAACATAGATCACAAAAACAACTTAAGAAAGGATTTGTGGAGCTGGAGAGATGGCTCAGAGGTTAAGAGCACTGACTGCTCTTCCAGAGGTCCTGAGTTCAATTCCGAGCAACCACAGGGTGGCTCACAACCATCTGTAATGAGATCTGGTGCCCTCTTCTGGCCTGCAGTCATACATGCTGTATACATAATAAATCAATCTTTAAAACAAGGGTTTGTGTTGGACCCTAGTTTGAGGGCACAGAGCATCCATCATGTTGGGGAAGGCAGGATGACAGAAAAACAAACTGGCTGATCCCACTGCCTCAGTCACAAAGCAAAGAGAGATGAGTTCTGGCGCTAAGTTCATTTTCTCCTTCTATTCAGTCTGGGCCCCAGCCTTGACATGGTGGTACTCACATTCAGGTACGGTTGTCCCTTTTCAGTTAAACCTTTCTGGAAACACTTCAGAGATGCATTCAGAAGTGTGTGCTTCCATGGCGATTCTAAATCCACTCAAGGTGACAGATAATCATCACAGCAGGTTTGCACAAAAATGTGATACTTTCTCAGATCTCAAAGTCTTGTTTGTTCAGGGGCTA